CAAGTACAGTTAATCTCACAACACTTAATTATCTCATGTTTACGTTTAAGTTGGAAACAGATCACAATTTTACCAAATGAAAATGAGTATTTAAGAGTGTGTTTAAAATCTAAATAATAAATCAAAACATCTTTAATAAAAGCATGTTTAAACCAAGCAATACTTGTACATGAGTGAAAATCATGAAATTTCAAGTAAATCTTTTTCGTTAAAATTTCAAACAAGTTTCCAAATGAAGTTTTTACATGACAAATCGGCATAAAAAGAATTTTTATGCCGAAATTTTAAAATATTTTATCATATAACCGTGATTAGAATTTACCCATAGCTGGTCTTGTTGAGATGAAATAATGTGGAGATTGTTAGAAAAAATCATTTTAATAAAAAAGTAGTGAATGGTGATCCGGCTTTTTGTCTTGTTTAATTTTTAAATCCTCACGTCCCAACAAAAAAGTCTTTGTCTTTGAATATTCAATGATATAAATTTACCCTGTATTGTTTAGGGCAACTTTACATTGGTTTTCAGGAGAACCAAATAGACTGGAGACGTTTTACCATTACTACATGAACAGTTCGGCTTAATCCTGTGGTGCAACCACCAAACAGGTACCTGATACCGTGGTGGACCATTCACACCATTTATATATACACAATGGTATATGTATTTCCGATCCATGATCGCGTCAATCAATATGCACCGCATAAACAGGCCATTTCGACCCTTCCTGCTTACATGACTGTCAAACTCATTATTATTAGCAATGTTGATATGTAATACAGCACCGCAGTGACAGTGTTGCAGAACAACCACTTATATCAATGAAGTCGGTCACCCTGCTAACCAATTTTGTATATGGACTGTTAACAATGCTTACCAAAGCAAAGCCAACCCATCCACAATATTCACAGCTAACCTCTAGTCTCATAGGAGACCTTCAGCTCTATATAGGAGTATAGCATATGATGTACACATATATGGCGTAGAATAGTAGAAGAGGCAGCTCAGCTTAATGCAAATAGGCCCAAACACTTTCTATTACCCTTTGTCTCATGTCGGGCAATGATGTTTTCGTGTTTCCGAAATTTTCATTTTTCGACCATATGAGACCTGAGTTATGGGTGGTAGTATCCCTTTTGTTTTTGAAGATACTTTTAATTTACCTTGTAAATAATAAAATTGACAACTGAAATGTATGTCTGTTAGTGTATATCAATCTTGATTTGTTGACTCTACAGAAGATCAAAATTATTTATGTTGTTTGGTTACTGCCGACTATTATATATTTCCCTAAGATTTATTACTTAACCAGTAAAAGTATATTATACTGACGGCCTTCGTCAAAATAATCATACATTTCGGAAACCATGAATCGATCGATGTTAGACCACCACTTGACCACTTCACTGGTCACGTCTTTCCACCACTAGAATTCGGAGAAGATTCCTCACGAAGCTAGTCACTAGTCAGCACAGGTAATTTGCATTACAGGAGTTGTGAAGACTGTTAAGTTACACATTTTTAAAACCATGAATCGATCGATGTTAGACCAACATTAGAAACCTGGCAGAAGCACTGGACGGCCGTTTTGTCCTGGTATGGGACGTGACCAGTGAAGTTCAACCTGTTCGGGTGTAGGCAGTGTCTACCGAAGACTGTGTATGAGGTTGCGCAACTCCGTGAATTTGATCTAGTTAGACATTAACACCGTCAAATACCCGCTCAGTGGTCTGACGGTTAGGGCGTTCGCGCACAATACCGAAGGTCCTGGGTTCGAATCCTGCGGGGTGCAGGAGTCGTGGATGCGCACTGCCACTGATCAGTCCCATACCAGGACGAAACGGCTGTCGTGCAGTGCTTCCAGGTTTCTAGTGGTGGTCTAACATCGGTCGATTCATGGTTTCAAAAATGTGTAACTTAACAATCTTCACAACTGCTGTAATGCAAAATAATCATAAGCAAAGTAAATGCCTCGTGTATTTTGAACGAAATGTACAGTGCATCGATAGATAACTTGTTGTACATTCCCAGTGGTGAAGTAAAAATTAATAAGATGTTTTCCTGAAAATAATTGAAATCAGTAAAATTTTCTTCTGTGAAACTGAAAAGTCAATTTTAGATGGTAATTAAGCTAAACTGTCAAATATAACTGCCTTCATGACAAATTGTATGTTTAAGTAACTAAATTAATGGTTGCTTTGGTTGTCAGATTGGGCATCGACCTTGTGACTTCCGAAAGAAATCGGTTTTAATCATGAGATATCATAACTCTCCTAAATGAGAACCTTCTAACTTCCAGAGCAGAGTTAAAATGGTTTGAATTATGTTTTCTGGTTAGCGTTGTTTTAGTGAGTTAGTTTTTTTATGGGATAGGGTTTCTAACCCCACACCCAACCCGCTTCCTTTATACGGCATTGGGATTGGCGGTAATCCTAGAAGGGCTCCAAGCAGAGATGATAAGGAAGCTAGGAAATTTAAAAATCTTTATATGATTTAAATTGAAGTCATAAATTGATCACTGTTAAACTATTATTAAAAATCTGCAAGCGTTCGATGACGATTTTGTTCTAGTATGAGACTCATCAGTGGTTAAATATAGTCAAGAGGTTGAGCGTCTGTGAGCAAGCCCAGGTTCGATTCCAACTTGTCAGTATTGTGGATGAGCATTATTTAACAATCTTATACTAGGACTAAATGTCTGCTCAGTGATTTCAAGTATCCAATGATGGTTTAACATTGATCAGTTCGTGGTTTCAATAAATCAGTCTACATTTCATGCTTCAAATTAAGAAATCTAGTAACATAAGTGTGGTAAAGGTTTAAATTCACTAAAATGTAACCAAATTTTGAAAGATTCATTTTTAAATCTTATGATATGCATAGTATAGTTGTAGTGAACGAGAACACGGGTGGGGCAACCGGATTGTATATAACGAAAATTACAGAGTTACTTAGTAAAATTGGAAAACCATATCATAAATCGTTAATTTGCAAAATATCAGTTCATCCTATCGAACTGGACTGTTCCTGTTGCAAAGCATCAATCCATTGTCACTATTCATGTGTTTCATACAAACTCCATTGTGTTCCCCCCACTCTTCCTTTCTTGATCTTCACCCATCTTCTGCTGCCAGACATTACGTTGACACTCACGTCATATACTGCTTATAAGTAGCGCACACCACATAGTAAGAATGATAAGTCACAGCAGAGATATGTTTGGTACATTAGATCTTCAAAACTCACTAGGAAAAGGTCCCAGTTTTGTAATTTTATTCTGCGATTTTGAATTTCCATGTTTTCGCGCCGGTTAGCCTTGAGGTTAAATTTCCCCCTCGGAAAATTCTTGACTGCTATTGATTGATGGATTATTTGAGTACGCTATTTTGTAGCTATCCAAAGGACATTTCTATCATTGTATAAATAAGCTTGATTTGTGTGCTTAGCAACCTCATATTTTCTGAGTACTTGTAGAATACATTCTCTACTCTTTATCAAGACTTCTTACAGTAGTTAACGGGGGCCTGGGATAATCGGATTAGAAAAGCATATTGTGTCACTGAGTCACTGCTCGTAATCGGAAAGGGTTAGGGTTTGAGGAAATATAAACCAGTGAAATAAATTTAGATAGAAAGAGTGAAAAGGTTATGAGGAATTCAGAAGATTAGAGTTTATGGGGATCCATCTGTGCCATTGCAAGTGGTTTTGAGCCTTATTTTATTCAAAGTTTTTGACCACTAGGTTAAGATTGTCTTGCGGACCCCAACTAGGTAGTCTACACCTACTAATATGGGTTAGTCCAGATGTCAATGACTTCATGGATTCGTGCCATGTTTTGATTTGACCAGCCCTAGCTTTTTTCTACGCCTACTCCTATACCAGAAAACATCGCTTGTTGAGGAAGTTTGTGGTCAGGCATACATAACTCATGTCCCAACCTTCCAAACTGATGAAGGTTCACTACTTTATCAAATGATTCCCATCATGATCAAGTGTCTTTTTTCTAACCCCAGCATTGCTTACTCGATGGTCTCAAGATATATGAGCAGTTCTTCTAAGAAATCTATGATCGAATACAAGTAACCTATGAATATCCTTTATTCTTACTGCCCATGTTTTACAATGGTAAAATAGAACGGAGTGAACTGCTGCGCAGTGAACTCGTCCTTCGGTTAGTAGATGTGTATCTGGCCTACGCCATAGTTGACAAAATCCAGTCGACCTTATTGTATCCGTTCTTACAGGATTTAGATCTAAGCCTTCGATATTTGTGCACTTATCTAAGCTATCAGGAATAATAGATCTAAACAGAGATTTGTCATGATGTGACCACACAGGTTCCATCTGGTCTTAGCTTCCTGTATATCAAACTTTGTATCCCTGTCAACGGATTGGGCAAGGGAAACACTTCTAGGGAGGGGATTAAACACAGGCGGCATCGAATAGAATAGTCTCTTCCTATAGGAAAGAGATGTGGAACCTCATGGTTACGCATCTAGTAGCCGAATTCACTGACTCTGCACATCCAAATTAGCTCAAACGTTTAACGGGTGATAGGGAATGAGTATGGTAGATGCTACTCACAAACTAACTTATAAGTAGTATACAATGGAGTATCGTCTAGAATTTGATGGCAGAGTGACAACAGAGTGCCATTATAGTGAAGGAGAACATAGGTGAGGGCAACCAAATTGTATTTAACGAAAATTACAGAGTTAATTGGTAAAATAGGAAAACCATATCGTAAACGGTTAATTTTCAAATCATCAATCCATCGTCTGACATTTCACTTATTCATGCGTTTCATACAAATTCCATTATGTTCCCACTCTTCCTCCCTTTCTTGATCTTCCCCCATCTTCTGCTGCCAAACATTACGTTTACACTCACGTCATATACTACTTATAAGTAGCGCGCACCAAACCATAACTATCTGTACATACATATTTCATGATTCTATCTATCATTTTTTCTCATTCACAGACAAAATCTACGGAATTTCATGACAATCAATGATTTACCAAATGGATGCATTGAACATTTACTTGATACTTTATACAAACAATGTAATTCACTTCTTATTCAACAGGACAGTATTATTAGTCGTCATCAAACTGAGACAAGTACACCAACAACCAGTCCAACCAATCCAATCAGTCCGACTAGTTTAGCTATAACTACTGATTATCATGAAAAATTTTCAATAATCTCTGATTATTTAAATTGTCTTATTAAATTAGTATGTTTAATGAGCAGGTAAATTTGTTGTTTTTTTTCTGGGAAAAACCCATCATTTAATTTCAATTTTCAATGATAGAAATGATACCATACAACAATTGATCATTGAACAGAATTGTACACATCAAATTTTAACAAATCTCTTGAAATTGGTAACACAGTAGTGTTATTTGAATTAATCAAATTTTTATTTTATTTTTCAAATAGACTTGTCATTTGAAAAATTTAGACAATTTAAAGTTGACAATTGATTTCATAGAGATTTTATATGATCCTTATGGGGTATGGAAACAATGGAGATCGAAGTAAGTAGTATTGTTCAATTTTGTGTGGATCAATTATGATTTTTTTTTCAAAATTGATTTTGTTTTTGTTGGGGATGTTTTGATCCCCAAAAAACTCGCCTGTTATATGCCTTAATTTTGGATTTCATGTTTGCGTGAGCATCGGCTGATCAGTTGTTGACCTTGAGATTTCGTTTCCCATCCCAGGAAAATCCATGGCTGTGATTGGCTGCTGTGTCATTTTAGTGTGCTATTTTATTGTGACTGTTCCAAGGACGTTTCTATGATGGATAAATAAACGAGAGTTGTGTGTTGCGTGATTGTATTGTGTGATTGCTGGGTGTTTGTAGAATATACTTTCTACACTTGCCAAGCCTTCTGTTTACAGCTTGGGATTCAAGGTAGCCTATCTGGACGCTGGTAATTGTCTCGTTCGCGTTTATCGACTAAGTTGAACTCGTAATAGCCTCAAACATGCTTAGTGACGAACATAACAGTTTTTTATAATGTGTCAATAGTATTGGAGATTTGAATTTCTGTAGATGTTAACTGCATGAACTGATTACTTGAGTGACAAAGCAAGAGTATACATATATATATTCATTTCCCTTAGAAAATGAGTCAATTTCTCAACCAATGATAACATTTGTGCTTTAGATTAATATAGAGATCGTAGTTTCACCGTGAAATCGTGAATGAATCTTTGTGTTCATTAATTACTAGCTTTGTAAGGTTCTCTGAGTTCTAGGGAGAGGACGAGACTAGCGGAGTTCAACCCTGTTGGGTGTAGTCAGTAACTAAAAGAAGACAGTGGATTTATCAGAGCAAGATATTAACACCAGCTTAGTGGTCTAGAGGTTAGGAGTTCGCGCGCAAGGCTGAAAGTCCTGGGTTCTAATCCTGTGAGTAGCGGAAGACGTGGGTGCGCACTGCTGATGAGTTCCATCCAATGACGAAACCGCTATCTTTTAGTGCTTTCAGTTTTCTAATAGTGGTCTAACAATCATTCATTCATGATTTCAAGGCAATGATAATATATTCGATTTTTCGGACAATGTCTTCAAACGACTTTCTCGTTTGGTCACTTCTGATTGGCTTACTAATATCACAGATAAGTAATGTGCGTAGTTTGACATCCAGAATGTGTTTAATACGTAAAAATGTTAAACATGTTGATACATTTTGAATGTTTACTTATTGAAAAAGCTGTAATCAGAACAATGAAACACTATCGATAAACTGTCCACACTGATCAGTGTTTATCAAAGCTATTGAAGATCTGAAAGTGTAGAATAACTATTATCGTCAACTCACTAGTGGCTTATGTTATGCTCGTCAGTTGATATGCTTGAACTATGACGAGTTCACCTTAGTCGGTAAATGGGAGCGAAGACAAAGGATCCAGTGACACGATAGGCTACTCTAATCCAAGATTTCCAAGGTTTCACTAAGTAGAGGAAGAAGACTTGACAAGACCTAGAAAGTGTATTTTACAAGCACCCAGAAAATATGAGGTTGACAAGCACACAAATCAACTTTCAACCGAAGCTAAAATCAAGATTTTCAATACAAATGTGAAGACAGTTCTACTGTATGGAGTGGAAACATGGAGAACTACCAAAGCCATCATCATCCAGAAGATACAAGTGTTTATTAACAGTTGTCTACGCAAACTACTTCGTATTCTTTGGCCAGACACCATCAGCAACAACCGACTATGGGAGAGAACAAGCCAGAATTCCAGTGGTGGAGGAAATCAGGAAGAAGCGGTGGAAGTGGATAGGACACACATTGCGGAAAGCACCTAACTGCGTCACAAGACAAGCTCTCACTTGGAACCCTCAATGTGAAAGGAAGAGAGGAGAAGGCCAAAGAACACATTACGCCGTGAAATAGAGAAAGATATTATAGGAATGAACAAACATCGGACAGAACTGGAGAGGAAAGCTCAGGACAGAGTTGCTTGGCGAAAACTGGTTGGCGGCCTATGCTCGATTGGGGGTAACAGGCGTAAGTAAGTAAGCACACGAATCGAGTTTATTTATACATGATAGAAACGTCCTCTGGAGAGCCATAAAAATAGCATAATAAAATAACACATTAACCAATAACAGTCAAGGGTTTTCCGGATGGGAAATGTAATCTCAAGGTCATCCGATCAGCGCATGCGCGAAAACAGCAAAATCCAAAATTAGGACCTTTATCAAGTGAGTTCTGGGGATCTAACGTCCTGATAAATGGAAGTTAGAATCAGTGTTTACCACACTGTATTAAACTGTGCTTCGATTAAAGTTTGAATTAAACTATTTTATGCCAAAGTAATAATTCTAAGGATTAAAAGTTTAGAGTAAAACCTGAAGGTTCTGATCAGGTCTTGTGTACTCACTATTATTGTGAAGTTCTATACTAGAAAAAAACGGAAACCAGTCTATGCCGAATTCCACATACAGATAAAGATGGATTCTCCACAAAACTTCTTCTCACATGAAACTAAACATCTCGAGTTCGAATCTCATACCTGACGTCATGAATATGCACTGTTGAGAAGTTTACCACAAGAATAAAACAATCATCCAGTGCTCTCAGGTTCGATAAGTTCATGATTTCAACGGAAATAATAATCTTCAGTTTGCTTCACAAAGAATGTGTTGAATTCTCAATAGATTACTAATTTTTAAAATTTTTTCAGTAACTATCACAGTTACTCACTTCATCAGATGATATGGTTGGGACATGTGTTACATATGGCTAACCACCGACTGCCTCGACGAGCTATGTTTTGTGTTGTAGGAGTAGGTTGGAAAAAAGCTAGGGGCGGCCAGACCAAAACATGGCACAAATCCATGAAGTCACTGACAAGTGAACTGAGTCATGTTTGTAGGTGTCGACTACCTTGAACGACATGGCCCAAAATCGTTTGCAATGGCGCAGGTGCATCCACTTGTTGTGTTCTCTCAAATCCTAACCTCCGGAACTCCTCATCATCTCTATCTCTCTCTTTCTCAAGTTATCTCACTGAATTATACTTCTTGAATAATATCTTCGAACCCTATTCTTCTTCATTACCATTAATACCTCTACTATCTTTATCACTATGGAATTTGATTTTACATTTGCGTCTCTGTGCTCATGTGGTATGGCAGCATGTACACACGTACGAAGTTCTACGTTGCAACTAACTAACTAACTAACTAACTATCACAATTACTCCGAATTTCAGTTTAGACTGTTGGTTCACTTACTTACATAATAACGCTTGTTACCCCTCATGAATCATAGGCCTCAGACTAGTTTTTCCTGGTTAGCGTTTTTTTAATGCGTTGGTTCTCAACGGGATAAGGTCGCTAACCTCGTACCCAACCCTTCTCATTTATCCGTGTTACGTACTGGCAGTAGTAACCCCAGAAGGGTTCCAGGCCGAGTTAAAACTGTGGATTAGTTTTCTTATATTTTGTGTTAACATATGAAATTTTCTTTGTTTTATTCTATATTAATTCTTTTACTAAAATATCAAATTTCAATGTGTTTAAAATTTTTTTGAAACACATTTAACGGATTATTTTTCAAAGTCACATGTGAGCCAATCAGAACTGGCCAAATGTGAAGGTCATTGATGGCCATTAGAAAATGGTTTGAAGGACAAATGCATATCATTGGTTAAGAAATGACTTTCTTTTCTAAGGAAATGGGATTTGTATATATGTATAAAGTCGAGCGATCGTTCTTATCATTCAATAGTCAGTTAGACTTTTTCTTTTAGGCCTGTCTTCTTACTCTGTCCGAATGTGCAAACTGAATCGGGGTGATTTTCGCAGGAGATCACTGCCTGAGCGTTTGACCTAGAGGTTTACCTCATGAGAGACAACGTTACGAGATGCTGTCCAATAAAAACTGTTGATGAAGACTAGGTTCTTATGACATTTGTTTGTTCAAGATCCTGGATCCCATGTGGTCCAATAGTTTTGGATATGTGTCTTTTAACTCCCTTTAAGTGAATATTCTGTAACAATTAACTCGGTTTAAGCAACTCATAATCGCTTTTCGTCCGCTCAGTTTTGTAGAGAGCACTCCCACTGCAAAAAGGTAGTGAGTAGAAATTCTCTCACGGTGGAAATATACATGTGGTTATATCAGAGAATCTGAAGACAGTAACTGGACCTTACCTTTTCTCGACTGTATCATGGTACTTGGGGGATGTGCGTAACTACAAAACATCACCTAGATAACACGTCAGTTGTAATAATGAAATAAATTACCCAACTACCAATTATAAACAGCCTAATATCAGTATTTATCTTCAGTCAGTCAACAACAACGTATAACTTTGTACGTACGTACATCAGTTCAAGTTGCCATACCACATCAGTACAGGGATACAATTGTCAATTCAAATCCCATAGTGGTAGAGGTAGTAGAAGTATTCGCAGTAATCGGAAAGATTAGGGTTCGAAGATACTGTAAAATAAATTTAAAAAAAGGAGAAAGATAAAGGTGATGAGGAATTCAGGGGATTAGAATTCGGGAGAACACAAAGTGTGGATGCATCTGCGCCACTGCGAATGATTTTGAGCGTCTTTAAAAGTCTTTAACCATCGGTTACCATTGTCTCACGGACCCCAACCAGGTAGTCTACACGCACTACCATGACTCAGTCCACTTGTCAGTGACTTCATGGATTTCTGCCATGTTTTGGTTTAGCCACCCCTAACTTTCTTCCAACCTATTCCGACACTGCAAAACATCGCTCTTCGAGGCAGTCGGTGGTTGGGCATACGTAACACATGTGTCACAACCACTTCAACTGATGAAGTTTCAACACTTCATCTACTGATCTGTCATATTTACTTAGTACCCGTCTCCTGAAAACAGAATGTTGATAAAATGTAAGCAGCGGTGAAATCCACGGGACGCGTCGCATTCTGTAAACGACTCGTCAGGTGGATAATGAACCAATCATATCTTACAGTTGATGTTCATTCCGGAATCCGAACCCAGTAACTTTTGTGTTGGGGATGTTAGATCCCCAAAATTCGCTTGATAAATGCCTTATTTTGGTTTTCACGTTTGCCAACACTGGCTGATCAGTTGACCTTGAGATTTCAGTTCCCACCAGGAAAATCCATGGCTGTGATTGGCTGCTGTGTATTTTAGTGTGCTATTTTCTTAACTGTCTCAAGGACGTTTCTATGATGGATAAATAAACGAGAGTTGTATGCTTGATTGTATTGTGATTGCTGAGTGTTTTGTAGAATATACTTTCTACGCTTACCACGACTTCTGTTTTACCGTTGGATTCAAGGCAGCCTATGTGGACGCTGGTTTATTGTCTCGTTCGCGTTTATCGACCAAGGTAAACTTGTAATAGCCTCAAGCATACTAAGTGACGAGCGTAACAGTTTGCTCCCTGTATCCACTTAAATATGGGAGTTCAAACAGCCACTTACTTGTGCGACCAGTGTGAGATTTGAAATTGACTGAAATCTGTTCTGTCTTGGTTAGCAGCTAGGCATTCTATGAAAATTGCCATGATCTAATCATTTTGATGCAAGTTTTATCATATAATACATTGCATGTACTTATATTAATGGTTGCCCTCTTTATCAGAAGGAGGCCATCGGCTTTGCGACTTCCGAAGAAACTCAGCTTTCATAATGAAGATGTCATGACTTTTCTAAATGATGACCTTCTAACTACCAGGGTAGAGTTTAAATGATTTGAATTATTTTTTCTGATTGGCGACTTTTTAGAGAGTTGGTTTTTTACAGAATAGGGTCACGAACTGCATGCCCAACCCTCCTTTATACGGGGTTTCGGACTAGCAATCAACCTAGAAGGGCTCCAGGCGCTCGATTATCCCAACCATTTGAAATCATCAATCAATCATTGTTAAACCACATTTAGAAACCCAGAAGCACTGGACGGCCGTTTCGTCCTGGTATGATGATTTCAAATGTGTAAAAACGCAAACCTCCAAAACTCTGCACCAAAATATCGTAACAATGCTCACTAGTCACTAGCTAGCTTCGTGAGGAAATTCTCGGAGTTCTAGTTGAGAAGACGTGACCAGTAGATTCAACCCTGTCGGGTGTAGGTAGTAACTACCAAAAACAAATGGGTGAGGTCGCGCAAAATCCCTAGATCAATCAGAGTTAGACATTAACACCGTTGGATGCCGGCCAGCCCAGTGGTCCGGTGGTAAGGCGTTCGCCTACAATGCCAAAGGTCCCGGGTTCAAATCCTGCGAGGAGTAGGAGTCGTGGATGCGCACTGCTGATGAGTCCCATAACAGGACGAAACGGCCGTCCAGTGCTTCCAGGTTTCTAATGGTGGTCTAACAACGACTGATTGATGATTTCGAATGTGTAAAAACGCAAACCTCCAAAATATCCCAACTATTTCAAAATGAATTAACTTTTTGTTGGTTATAATATAATTTACTGTTACATTTAAAAAATATATTCTTTACATATGTTCTACTTGACTATCATGTTTTTCATGATAGAGTTGTCCAGATTGTTAAGTTTCATCAAATCATGAATTGATCATTGTTAAACATTGACATCATTCGATGTTGACTCTCATTGGTCTGGAGATTAAATGTTCACGTGCAAAACTGAAGGTCCTAGTGTGGTGTGAGCTGCTTATAAGTAGTATATGACGTGAGTGTCAACGTAATGTCTGGCAGCAGAAGATGGGGGAAGATCAAGAGAGAAAGAGTTGGCACACAATGGAATTTTTATGAAACGCATGAATAGTGACAATGGATTGATGTTTTGCAACAGGAACAGTCCAGTTCGATATGATGAACTGATATTTTGCAAATGAACGATTTACGATATGGTTTTCCGATTTTACTGAGTACCTCTGCCCCACCTGTGTTCCCCTTCACTACACTAGGTTCAAGTTCGCGTGAGTAGGGGTCATGGGCATTCGCTACTGATAAGTCTTACACTGGGACGAAACAGCCATCCAGTGTTACCAGGTTTCTTTCTATTGTTAAGTGAACATTGATCGATTCAAGATTTCTATGTTTTTCTCATTATATATATATATATATATATATATACTTATGTATTATTTCAGTGTAATAAACTTCTTTTTCTCTCTATCTATCTCTAGTTATTATAATCGAAAATTTGAAAATTTACAATTTTTCACTTGTTTATCTACGCTGTCAAGCGATTCATTGAATTATATTCATTCAAGTATAATTGGTGAGTAATTTGTTTTAAAAAATATGAAATGGTAACACTTTATATTTCGTACTTCAATTATATACTATGATTTGATGATGACAACAGTAAACGTGAGATTTTCTCGGTGTTGTATTTAAAACAAACTATTCAATACACACAACACTCTTGATTGTGAGTGAACAAAACAAAATTCAATGATTTCAAATGTGTAAAAAACGCAAACCTCCAAAACTGTGCCCCAAAATTCAATGTGTTTAATTGTTCAATGTGTTCAATTGTGTTTTATGGCAGTTTATTTTTACTTTTTATTGAAACCATGAATCGATCAATGTTAGACCAGCATTAGAAGCCTGGAAGAAGCACTGGGAGACGGCCGTTTCGTCCTGGTATGGGACTCATCAGTGGCAGTGCGCATCCACGACTCCTGCACCCTGCAGGATTCGAACCCAGGACCTTCGGTATTGTACGCGAACGCCCTAACCATCGGACCACTGATGAGTCCCATACCAGGACGAAACGGCCGTCTGTCAGTGCTTCCAGGTTTCTAATGGTGGTCTAACATTGATCGATTCATGGTTACAAATAAAACTTAACAATCTTCACAACAACCCCGCAATGCAATGTTAGACTGCTATTGAAAACCTGAAAATACTAAATGGTTATTTCGTCTTAGTAATGGGATGGATGACTCATCAGTAGTATGTATCTACAACATTGCAAGTGGGAAGTTAACAAAGGATCTTCGGTCTCAGAGTTGGCTTTCCCAACAGTGTTAATGAGATTTACGAATTTTCATAACCCCTTAATGACAATGATTTTTCGGTTCTTATATGGTCATTTAGATGTATGACTTTATCTCTAGGTCAGTAGACATTAGAGAGGTACTAGGGGGTGTAGGATGGATATGATTTTGACCATTTTGGTCTCGTGTGCTGTTATGGGTATGAGGGCGGTTGTCACTTCCCGGCTGCCCACACTGTGGAAGGTTATTTCTAGAGGAACCTGAAAAGGAAAGTATATTAGCGTTGGTCTTAGAGACCTGGGTGCGTGATCACAGAGCCCAAGGGACAACTGCTTGAGGCCGGTCACGCATGGCCTGTTTATGAAAGGTTTTTTGAGTATCAGCTCCGTTCTTAAAGGCCCTTAGTGGGCACCCCTACCGACGGAGATGGAAATCCGTGAGGTAGGGTGAGGTGTGACATTTTTAGGGTCGACCTTTTCTAATCCGTTCCCTCCTTGTGAGAAGGCAGCATCGCTGCAGATGCTAGTTGTCGGAGGGAAACACCTTACTGCTGTCAAACCCCTCTGCAGTCAGCAGTACGACTACACCCTCAGACCTTGAGTAGCTGCTTTTAGTCTCATCGTTCTTCAATCGACCTGCCTGGCATGGTAGAACCTTCAGGAACATAAGTTCCAGCCAGTATAGTATTGAGAATCAAGCCCGACCACCACGTGAAGGTAGCAGCTACGGTCGGGATCTAGGTCAGTAAGTATTGAAAGTAACTGTGTAGTTGACTGTTAAAATGACAGAGCTATAGACTAGTCATTGATAAGTTCAAAATTCATAATCATATAAATTAACCCTCTATTTGCAAGGGTAATTTTACCTTTTCTTTCAGGAGAACCATGGAGACTGTTCATGTGTTAGCACTACAATGTGGACAGTTCAGCTCAATCCTATGGCGTGACCACACAGGTGCCTGACACCCTGGTGGACCATTCACACCATTTCATATACACACAATGGTATATATATTTCCGATCAATGATCGCGTCAATCAATAGACACCGCATGAACAGGCCATTTCGACCCATCCTGCTTACATGACTGTCAAACTCATTATTATTAGCAATGGCGATATGTAATACAGCACCCCGATGACAATTGCCCTCGGGAATGAAATCGGTCACCCTGCTAACCAATTTTGTATATGGACTGTTAACAATGCTTACCAAAGCAAAGCCATACCATCCACAATGCGTCACAGCGAACCTCTAGTCTCATAGGAGACCTTCAGCTTTATATAGCAGTATAACATATGGTATACACATAGTATGACAGCCCAGCTTGACATGCAAATGTGCTCATACCCATTGTCTCATGTCGGGTAATGATTTTTCCGCAATAACGAAATTTTCATTTTCCGAGCATATGAGACCTGAGTTATGAATAGTATCCCTTCACTGATAAGTTAGTTGAATAAGTGAAGGTTCGTCTATGACTTGAGGACATACATTTTTATAGAATAGGGTATCATTTTGAAAAGAAGTTCTTTTTGAGTTCTGGTGATAAGGCTTGACCAGTAGAGTTCAACCCTGTTCACTCTGAAGGAATGCTCACCGAAAACAGTGGATGGGGTTGCGCAAGACCGTGAATTGATGGAAGTTAGACATTAAAACCAATGGACGCCAGTTCAGTGGTCTAGTAGTTAAGGGTTCGTGCGTGAAACCGAAGTTCCTCTGTTCGATTGCCACGAGCGAGGGTCGTGAATGAGCACTGTTGATGAGTTTCATTCTAGGACGAAACGGTCGTTTAGTGCTTCCAGGTGATTTTAATGAAACTCAACAATTTCCATAACTCTATATGGGAAAAAATACTTCAGCTAAAGTTTTCCGCCAATTAGTTCCCTAGACTCCAGAGAAGAATTATAACACAAATGTTCATATCTCACAGTATGTACTGTATCCTGTAGCTGTCGAGTTGCTTCAGTCAGTTTTAACATAACATTAACCTCAACTAATATGACCGACTGTTAAGTTTGTTTAGTGAACGCAAGATCCGACTTCTTATTCGCTTCTTATTACCCCAGACTGAATATATACGGCAACTTAAACACAAGAGTAAAGGCGTAAACTAAAAGAAGACTTCTTTACTCAGAAATTTTAGGGTTGCTCGTAGCCTTTGACTTCAGGAAGGTTCAGCAACGATGCTAAATACAGTAGTGGTTTGGCAAAACATCTGATTTTGCATTTACCAGACAATTCTGGTTGAATGAGACATTGCCTGGTGTTTCTAAAACACTAAAGACTTTTCTGAGGAGTATTTCGGGGCTCTTCAACATTGACGAATCAGTGTTGCATTCTTGACATCAATAGGACGATTCAAACTAACAATATAAATGAATTAATCTTGTCTGATTATTCAATAGGCCAGTGGCTATCTAAACACAGCAGCTAAGCGAATAAAACAGTGGCGTTTAGAGTAAACGTTACTGAGTTCGTGTGCTCCTAAAATCAACACAACTATGCGATGTGGCAGGTGAATTCATCAGTTGACGAGTGCCAAATAGGACGTAACGCACATTCTGGATTCCACTACTAACCACTCTATCCAGCATTGATTTACTCATAGTTAAACAAACTCTTGAAAACCACTTATTTCGCTGAATTAAGTACAGAGTGGTCTAGAAGCAAATTGTATCTGATTTCCAACTACTTATTATTTTCAGTAGTATATTTAGTCCAAATACATGACTGAATTCTTAACCCCCCCACCCAAAAAAAGTAGCTACAGTCTACATTTCACAGTGGTTTCTAAAAGAATGAATTAATGTTTTCACTTCTAATTACAATCTTATTGTTTGTTACCTTAAACAAAGATTTATAGTACATGAAATAAATCGATCAATAATTACCGATCAGTACTTACTTCACTTACAACCTCTTGATCAATCAATAATTCAGTGTCTTTCTCTGTAGACACTATCTTTCTCAAGTTATTTCGCTTTTTTTGTGTGGAGTCTATGAGGACACATATAGTGAGGTTAAAATTAAAACTCTGAACTCATAATTTTAACAATATGCTGTGTTATGATGTTCACTGTCCAAGATCTGATCACGATACGTGTTATAACACCTTGAAAAAACTAGCTACTTAAGCAAGAAAGCAAGAATACAGGAGAAAGTCTATTTGTTTGTATAAATTCAGAAGATTAGAATTTAAGAGAAGACAGAAGAATGGTTTCATTTTTTCGCCATGTGACCCCAACCAGGTTGTCTACACCTACTAACATGGCTCAGTCCGTCCACTTGTCAGTGAATTCATGGATCTGTGCCATGTATTGGTTTGGCTGTGCCTAGCTTTCTTCCAGTTCAACCCTACAGCAAAAAACATCACTTGTCTAGGCAATCGGTGATTGGCCATTCGTAACACATGTCCTAACCAATTCAACTGATGATAAAGTTTTAATACTTCATCAACTGATTTGTCATTCTTACGTAATCGTATTACTATCAGTTACCATGCATCCTTGGACCTCGAACGCTGGGATCGAACTGCAAGACCTCTCAACTACTTGACAAACATCCATTAGTGTTAATGTCTTATTACTTCAATCAGACGACGATTTCGCCTGACTTCATTCATTGTCTTCGGTGGATAACAACCATATTGGTTGTGAATCACTGCTGATGAGTCCCTAACCAAAAACGAAACGCCTCTGTGGTACTTCTAGGTTTTAAATGTTGGTATAACATTGATCAGTTCATAGTTTTAATGAAACTTATATTTCACTCTGAATTATGAATACCTTTCACAACATGAATACATATCAGTGTTAAGTATGATTATTCATACACCTACTTACGCCTGTTACTTTTAATGAGGCGTAGACCACTGGCAAGTATTCTCCAACCTACTCTGTCTCGAGCTTTCTGTTCTTGTTCTATCTAGTTGTTATTCATTCGTTTCATGTCTGTCGCCATTTATCGAAGTAATGAATTCTTTGATCTTCCTCCTTTCCTTTGACCTTGAGGACTCCAGGTGTGGGCTTGTCTCGTGACTCATTTGGGTGCTTTCCTCATTGTGTATCTTATCCACTTCCAGCGCTTCTTCCTGATTTCCTCCTCCACTGGAATCGGATTTGTTCTCTCCCACAGTAGACTGTTACTGATAGTGTCTGGCTAACGAATCCGAAGTATTTTACGTAGACAACTGTTAATAAACAACTGTATCTTCTGGATGATGGCTTTCGTAGTTTCCCAAGCTTCCGCCACATACAGTAGAACCGTCTTGAAGTTTGTAGTGAAAATTCTGACTCCGGTGTCGATTGATAGTTATTTCGATTTCCAGATATCTTCCATTGTAGAAATGATGCTCTTGCTTTGTTAATCCATGTCTTCACATCTTCATCAGATCCACCTTGTTTATCAGTGATGCTACTGAGGTATATCAAGGTTTCTACATCTCCCAGCACTTCTTCATCAAGTGTGATTTAGTTGGTGCGTGCTGTGTTTTATATAAGGATCTTGCCTTTACCTTTGTTTATGTTGAAGTATATTACTAGAGGGGTTGCTGCTACACTGGCCGTCTTCTCTTGCATTTGTTGTTGTATGTGTCATAGAACAGCCAGATCATCTGCGAAGTCTAGATCATCCAACTGCATCCTGGCTTTCAACTGTATCCCTTGTTCCCTACCCAGATGTCGACCTCTTCATAATCCAGTTGATCACTGAGAGTATGGTCTGAGTTTTACAAACTATAAAGTATCAGATTTAAAATATCAGATTGTATGCAGCTGATGAGAAATCATGAAATAGAATAATGAATTCATTTTATTCCGCAGAAAAAAGTTTTTTTTTATTGTTCTTGCTTTGTTTAAATTTGTTCACACGATCTGTGGCTGTATATTAAAATTGAGTAGTAGTAGTAGTAGTAGTAATAGTAGCAGTAGTGGTAGTAGTAGTAGTAGAAGTAGTAGTAGTAGTAATGGTAGTAGTGTGAGTAGTAGTAGTGTAGTGAAGGAGAACACAGGTGTGACAACCGAATTGTATTTAACGAAAATTACAGAGTTACTCAGTAAAATCGGAAAAACCATATCGTAAATCGTTAATTTGCAAAATATCAGTTCATCATATCGAACTGAACTGTTCCTGTTGCAAACAACATCAATCCATTGTCACTACTATTCATGCGTTTCATACAAATTCCATTGTGTTCCCACTCTTCCTCGCTTTCTTGATCTTCCCTCATCTTCTGCTGCCAGACATTACGTTTACACTCGCGTCATATACTACTTATAAGTAGCGCGCACCACAACATGATTACGTCATGGAATATAACACTTTTTCATTAGTTCTTTCTTCTTTTTTCTCTTCTCGCAGATTTAATTAAACAAAACATTGAAAATGCAGAAATTCAAATTCTTCTCATTAATGCTTATTGTTATATATCAGTTGGATGTTTTGTAAGTTTAAATAAAAAGTTATTACGTAATAACGTAGAGTTATGCATTGTTTGTCCTCCACCCACCCTGGAGTTCCACTGAGAAGTCAGGATCAGTGGAGTTCGGACACTGTCGGATGTAAGACAGCTAGCTGTCCATCGCTGGTAACAGATGAAGGGTTGTGCAAGATTAGGAAGGATTTGATTGTGACCAAGTTGGTCTTTTTCGTGATGTTACGGGTATGAGGGTGATACTAACCAGATTGTTAGAGACCTTGAACAACATGGCTCAAAATCGTTTGCAATAGCGTAGGTGCATTCATTCATTGTGTTCTCTCAAATTCTAACCTTCTGAATTCTTCATCATCTCTATCTTTCTCTTTCGAAAGTTATTTCACTGGATTATACTTCTTGAATAATATCTTCGAACCTTAATCTTCTCCATCACCGCTAATACTTCTACTATCTCTACCACTATGGGATTTGAACTGACAATTGTATTACTGTGCTAATATGGTATGGCAATCTGAAATGATGTACGCACGTACGAAGTTCTACTGTAGTGAACGAGAACACAGATGGAGCAACCGAATTGTATTTAGTGAAAATTACGGAGTTACTCAGTAAAATCGGAAAACCATATCGTAAATCGTTAATTTGCAAAATATCAGTTCATCATATCGAACTGGACTGTTCCTGTTGCAAAACATCAATCTATTGTCACTATTCATGTGTTTCATACAAATCCACTGTTTTCTAACTCTTCCTTTCTTGATCTTCCCCCATCTTCTGCAGCCAGACATTACGTTGACACTTACGTCATATACTACTTATAAGTAGCTCGCACCACACTACGTTGCAACTGACTGACTATGCGAGATCATGGATTAATTGAAGTCGAATGTTATCACCACTGGATGCATGAGAGTCCGCGCTCGAGATCGAATGTACTAAGTTCGATTCCTGCTTTCAAGATCATGGACGTACACTACTGAGCAGTTATACTAGAATGAAATGGCTGCCTAATGCTTTAAGGTTTTCGATGGTGCATCAACATTGTGAAATTATTCACAAAATACTATAGTAATAACCGATTATTGATTTCCTGGAGATAACGTGTTCGCTTCAATAGTTAGTTAACGGAGTTCTACATACTATTCAATGTTCAATAGTATTCAAATGTTATTGAACACTGAATCACAATGAAATCTATGTTTGTTTGTTTTGTTTTTTTCTAAACCAGGGTTTTATACAATACAATGATATACATGATTTATTTTCATTGATCAATGAATCAAATAAACACTCGTCTAAATCATCATCATCATCGTCGTCATCATCAGTACCGTCAGAACAACGGAATATTCACCATGATGTTGTGAATGAACAGGATACATTTAAACAAACTGGAATCAATATACATAATCTTCATAATTTAACCACATCTGATAAAACTGACATTTTAGAAATTGATCGAAACAGTGTTGTTATATCAAGTTTCTTATTATATGGATTTAGTTTTCAAGAGTCAAGTATGGTAAGTTAGTGTTTTTTAATGTGTTCTTTAGTTTGTAGTACTGTGTTCAATGTACAATAATGGCTTTTATTCAATAAGATAGCTTGTACTGATGGATTTATTTCAAAAATAATGTGTTATTAGACTGTTATAGTGGTAGGTGAGATGAATTCTAGGTTGAGTTCAACCGTGTGGGTTATGAGGCAGTTCGTTACCCAATGAATCAATGAATCAATGAGGTTAAGCGTCCACTCACGAAATCGAGGGTCTTGAGTTGGATTCCGCTTTGCAAGTGGTCGTGGATGAGCACTGCTGATAAGTCGCATACTCGGATAGAGCGGCCGTCCGGTGCTTCAGGGTTTACAATGGTGGTTTAGAATCCACCAGTTCACTGCTTCAATGAATTCCAGTATTTAAGGTAGTGTTTGTAACGATGTGAAAAAGTTGTGTTCAATAGTTCAATACCTTAATCATCTTATTGATATATATACAGATTTCTGAAGTTGTAAGTAGAATTTTCTCATAGCTGCGCACTTTAAGAGTATTTCTGAAAGTGCTTAGTGAAAAACATAATGACATCATTTGTAAATACTTGTTCCTAGTTTTTGATGATAACCATGAAACGGTTGAACGTAGTTCATGTAGGATGTTTTAAATTCAACAATTTTCAACTTCCAAAATCTTTATTATTGACATTATGAATCAGTCATCGTTAGACAACCATTGTAGACCTGAAAGCGTTGAGAGGCAGTCGTTTCATCCTGGTATGAGACTCATCAACATTGCGTATCCATGATTTCTGCCTCTCTCAAGATTCGAACCCAGAGCCTTCGGTCTTGCGCACGAACGCCTGATCTCTGGATCACTGAACCGGCATTTAACAGTGTTAATGTCTAATTCTGATCAATCTAGGGAGTTTGTTCAACCTAACACATAGTTATTGCCCATATGCGACAGGGTTGGACTCCAGTGGTTACATCTCAATGATACTCCAATAATTCCTGCAAGTAGCTTGTCACTACTGAGCATTATAGTATTATGGAGATCGTTGTTTCATCTTGAAATTTTATTTCTTGATCTGTTCCTTTGATCAATGTTATCTTGAAAGATGATAGTCTTTGACATATTCCTTATTGAAATTTCACTGAATTGTTAACACTGAATTGAATGACTTATCATGATAGAGTTTTATAGAAACGGCTACGTTTCATTGAAGTCATAAATCAATCAATGTTGTTTAACGACCGTTAGAAAGAAACCTGGAAGCACTAGACGGCCGTTTTGTCCTAGTTTGAGACTCATTGGAAGTGTACATCGTTGATCACAACAAGGCGGAATCCAACCTAGGATCTTTGGTCTCACACGCGCACGAACACTTAAATTCTGAGGACCACTGAATGCGCAACGCCACTGATGAGTCCCATACTGTGGGATGAAACGGCCATTCAATACCAGAATCATCAATCAATCATTGTCAGACCACCATTAGAAATCTGGAATCACTGAACTGCCGTTTCGTCCTGGTATGGGACTCATCAGTGGCAGTGGGCATCCACGACGCCTGAACCTCGTGGGATTCGAACCCTGGACTTTTGGTGTTGCGCGTGAACGCACACTAGGACTAAATGGCCTTCCAATGGTTCCAGGTTTCTCATCAATGATTGACTGATGATTTCAAATGTGCAAATAATGTGTATTTATGTACTAGACATAAATCAATGAATTTGTGTTTTGCGACTGGGATACTTTATTGTCTGGGTGGCCGAATTTTAAATAGAAGGCTATTCCCTGAGTTTTTGAAACAGTGTAGTGATGTTAGGAGACTGTAGTACTAATAGTAGCACTATGTTAGCCTACTGTCCCCAGAGGATCAGGGAACAGAGCATGTTCACCACTGAATTGAAATGAATGTTTTTCAACTCACCTTGAGGAACCTTCCATACGAGGCAAGTTCTATTTAAGCACTGAACATTCACTTTTCATCGTGCTGATTTTGTTCACAAAACAACTCAGCCATCAGAGGGTAGTGAGTGATTATATACTCATGACCATATGTAGGGTTCGTCACTAGGTACGCTTGAAGGTATTACGAGTTCACCTTAATCGATAAACGCGAACGAGACAATTACCAGCACGTCCAGGTAGGCTACCTTGAATCCCAAGCTGAAGATAGAAGACTTTGTAAGCGTAGAATGTATATTCTACAAACACCCAAACACACAGTACAATCGTTTATTTATACATCATAGAAACGTCCTTGGGAGAGTCACAAAATACAGTCACACTAAAATACACAGCAGCCAATCACAGCCATGGATTTTCCTGGTGGAAAATGAAATCTCGAAGTCATCTGATCAGCCCATGCTGGCAAACGTAAAATCCAAAATGAGGCATTTAACAAGCGAGTTTTGGGGATCTAACATACCCAACACCATATGTAAAGATTTTGAGAAGAAGAGTAGGCTCTGTGACCACAATTGACCGTGTCAGGACATTTCGTTGTAATTAAATAACTATAGAATATTTTTATGGTACAAAAGCAAATCCTAAGTTAAACATTTTTTTTCACTAAACTCTTTATGTACTATCGTTACTATTCTTGTAAGTCAACAAAATATAGAATTTGAGGAAGAAATCGATTACAATGAGATGCAATACATGTGTGAGATTAAGTATTAACTGATAATCGGAACTAGAAGTTGGTAGAGTAAAATTTCGACTGTGTTACATAGCAAATAAATCTGTAGGAGATTTCATATTATGTTAACTTTTTTGCATGATGGGGTTGTGGAAGCAGTGGATGGCCGTTTCGTCCTGGTACTGGACTCATCAACAGAGCGCACCTACAACTCCTACTACTCACAGGATTCGAACCCAGGACTTTCGGCCTTGCACAATCTCATCATGGCAGGATAAATTCTATGTACCACTTTTCCACAATAGTATCTATAACACTCTTAAGTTAGTCAGTACCTTGTTATCAAATGGCGAGTATAAATTGAGCCTTCTAGGATTTGTGGTTGTGCTGGCTGCTACCTCCACGTGGTTCCCACTGGAAATATAGCCCATTTATAGTGTAATGGCTAAATGTCACCTGTTCTTCTGAAACTGTGTCTGTTGTCGTGATTGGGAAGCATATGACTATAGCCCAAGTGGAGCAATTACGGTTATCCTGAGGCGGTCGTACAGAAGTAGTTCTGTGTGACAACCAACCCTATGTGGTCCTCTCTTTACACTATGTTTGGGTGTAGTACTCAGATTAGCGTCAATGCCCTCTAATAACGGTCTCTAGTTAGGTTGATGTGCATCCGGAAGCTTAACTACCATCGGCTATTTATGATTTCTACTTATCAGCTTCGATCTGCAAAGGTCATTGTTGTTTAGAGGCTCAGCTCTGTTGAATGGCAATCGCGCTCTGCTGACTACATGAAGTCCTTCTCATGAAAACATGTGCATTTTGGCTTCTTTTTCTTGGAATAATCAATCCTTTGCTTATATAGGCCTGAAGAAACCTGGTCAACATATCTGCCATTGATCCACTGATGATTTTACCGAATAGACATCAAGATACCTGGACACTGGTGATTGCTATAGCTACTAGTCACTGTGTGACATTGCTGGCTCAGTGACCCGTATTTTACAAGGCCAGACTTAACTGAGTAAAACCTTCTTGCTGCCTGTGTTTTTTTCTGTTAAGGAAATGGGTTGTAGTTTGAATGGATGGATGAACAGAAATGGTCCACGAGTCCCTAAATGAGGGGATACCTGCTCTTGCTACTGAGAAGACTGAGGCAGGCGTGGAAGATTGTATTATGCCAATTTACACTCTGAGTCAATTAAAAACGAAAACATTACATTGAACACTACTCTATTTGCACACCATCTTTGTTTGAGTCGTGACTTCCAACACTCCATCCTTCTTGTTCCATTCTTGTTGTTGCTACCTTTACTTCCTGTCGGTACTCCATTTACTTCTTGCTTCTGCCCCATTTTCTTTCCGTTTTCCTCTTGTGACCGTGCAACTTCTTCTTTCACCTCCCTTCTTATACTACTACTACTTATATCGTTCGTATAAGTAGCACACATCACATCTACGACTGATAGAATTATGTCCGACTATTGTACATAAAAAATCTACCACAATGAATACGTTTATTTAGATAAGGTGAATCACATTTAACGCATGTTCACGTGTAACGTGAATTTTGCTTGACCAACTAGATCTTAATAAAATAAATTCTATATGTATATATATATATGTACTTTGAAATGTTTACTCAATAATATTCTTCTAATTTCCTGTACTCAAACTAATCATACACAGAATAACACATGTGTGATTGTCTTAGGGTTAAATTCAATGAATATGTTTAAGTACATGATTCATTCTTCAACAAACAATTAGTTGATCTCGTTTCTTTTCTCTCACTGTGTGTGTAGTTTTTCATAATAAACAAGTATGCATTTGTACAATTTACTGTGTACTGCACTGTACTGTCCTGCACAGTACTGTACTGTACTTACACGGAAAAAAACATGCATTTAAGGTCATTTTCAGTTTATTTTAAAAAGGAATAACTAATATGCTTTAAAATTATGCGTTTCTAATTAGCAAATAAACAAAAAATTTGGATACCTAGTTTTTACTACTAAATAAGAATGAGCTGTGGTGTATACTACTTATATGGATAGATATAAGTAGTATGTAAAAAGGACGTAAAAGTAAAACTCTTCGTAGCAGAAGAAAATAAGGGGAAGGTGTGACGAGTGAAAAAATGTAATAAACAGATTCATGTATATTTTAAGGATAGAGTTGTGAAAATTGTTGAGTTTCATTGAGATCATGAATCTATCAATGTTACTTACTTACTTACTTACTTACTTACGCCTGTTACCCCAAATGGAGCATAGGCCGCTCACCAGTTTTCTCCAACCAACTCTGTCCTCGACTTCCCTCTCCAGTTCTGTACAATGTTTGTTCATTCTTCTCGTATCTTTCTCTATTTCTCGGCGTAATGTGT